TGGTTAGCACTCACGAGATCTGCAACATAGATGGTACTGAAATAGAAACCAAGAAGAAAATTAAAAATCTTGGCGTGATTCTATCTGCTTATCTTTTCTGGTCGTCTCATATCTTGATGACTGCTAAGAAAATATTCCGTCTTATCTTCTATATCAAGAAGTTAAGACATTTTGGAATAACCCAACCCTTACTTATTCCTACGATTCGTTAACTCTTGCATCCTGCCTACTATTCTCTATTGTTCCTCCTTAGGTTTTACAGGGCTACTGAAGAAGGACTATACCTTATTACGCAGGATGTTAAAGGTTGTCAGAAGGGTTAACAACGTGCCACTTAACCAGCTTCTTAATATTCTGGATGACAGGCATTTGGACTCATGTGAAAAATGGGCTAAATCCGTTTTATCTAAGTCACACCACCCTCTTCATTCACAACTCTCCCCATGTATCTCTCCAGAGAAAACCAGAAGCCTATATAGAAAACTATATGCTAGCACTAGCAAGTACAAAAACTCAACCATACTCTATTTGGCTCGTGTTCTGTGCGATGAAGAAAGCATTAGGCACGAAACTTATAAGTTATTAAATAATCAGTAGAACAATTGGATCTCGTCTTTCCAACTCATATCATTTATGGGCACAACGTTTTCTTTCTTTCTTTTCCTTCTCTCTCTTTCTTGTTATATGCTCTTCTGTCTCTCTTCCTTCACAAACTCTATTTAAAACATTCTTCTTCGTTCTTTCACACTCTGTATATCTCGACCTTTTTGGTATCGCTTACGCCAGTAAATATGCTAGCATCTACTTTTCTAACACCTTCAAACATTCTGTTCAATTTCGGCTTTGCTACCGATGTGCTAATATGTTGTTGTTAAAATTCACTGAGAATACCCATAATACATGCAGAATTTTATTTAACGTTAATGTAAAAACTGGATGCAATACTGTAGTAAAATGCTGAGAATTCCATTCTGTATCACAAGTACCGTTTTGGAATAAAGCGAATTATTATTATGGTATGCATTTCTACCTCGGGGAGCTGGTAAACTCTGATTTCAAACCTATAGTATACATGGGCTTTAGAATTCATAAAGGTCAAATGTGAGCATGAATTTATTTTGGTCACCGAAAACCATGAGAACGTAGCTGTTGACATGGTACCACTACCCTGGGGATTAGATTTCAAATTAAAGGCTCGAGGGGTTTGGATAGCCCCTATCTGCTCATGTTTGGCTGTTCAGGTAGTATCATAACTGTCGCACAAACTATGCGAGTTTGTATGGCTCATATCTTGGAGCCCATTGTTTGCCCAGTTTGTGTTCTTCCTCACCCAAATACGGTTTAGTTCCATTTTCTTTGTCTATTTCAGAACAAATATTTTCTCGACAAAAAACATACTCCAACCTAAAACTATGTAAATCGTACAATGCAAAGATTTGAAAACTATTTAGAAGATTGTTTAATAAGACTTTTGCTGGTAGACAAGAATTCTACACTAAGCATCCTCAGAATCTCTAATGAGTAGAGTTAGGTGTGCATTTTAGATGTTAGTTTCAAACTAACGAAACTTCTGTCAATACAGGTGTGATTTCAGCTGGCAATATTGATTTTGTTTAGCTAAATCCAGTAATTTGAGCAGTTAAGGTAAAGCGGAATTATATCAGTATAATGTACTCGTCGCCAAATTATTGTTATGTACTGATCGAGAATTTAATAGTCCTGACGCAAGAAAGACGGAAATCAGAAGACCACTAGGTTTGCGATGATACTTCTATTTTCCAAACACAAGGAGAATCAATGTGTTTCCTACAAGAGTGTGAGAGTAAATATATATATGAATGTCCGAACAAGTGTGTGAACACAAGTGTGACAGTGAATATTCAAAATGAACAAATCAATAGACAGTCTTAACATGTTTGGCTAATTATAATGGAATATCGATCCATATATACATAGCAAAATATATCAGACTGTCAAACAAACACACAGTTTATATGGATATATATATATATATATATATATATATATATATATATATCAGAAAGTGTACTGTATAAGACAAGAGCAACAGTGAGGTTTGTGCAGAATAAAATAATTCCATCATTGTTCATTTCGTTGCCTTCTAATCAGCTCAGCTGCTTACAGATCACAGTCATTATTTGGTATATCTACAGAAACAGTTTTAACATACTTGCTCAGAGAGTTCATTTTTAAACAAAAATCAATCAATGTACGCATGCAGTAATATATATATATATATATATATATATATGTATATGTATATATATACATAATATGAAACACTATTCCGAATAATAATTATCATGATTTACCTCACTCTGATGAAATAAACTTTGTGAAGTACGCTCTTAAATCACAGCTAGACTGTACCAAAATAAATAGCTTTCTGTCGAGAATCAGTAAATGTTCTGAGTCTAACGGTCTTAAACTGAATCCTTCTAAATGTCAAACTGTTAATTTCAGCTTAAGATGTAAAAGACAGTTAAAAGAAGTCGTCGATTCTCATGACAGTTGTAAAATTGACGACAATGATATAGGAATTAAATCTGAAATCAAGTATCTTGGACTCATTCTCTCTTCTGATCTCCCCGGGTGTTCCCATGTCTTAGTGATATCCAGTAGAATATTCTGCCTGACATTTTACATTAAGAAGTTAAGGCACTCGAGTATAACTCAACCCCTCCTCGTATAGTTCATAAACTCTTGCATCCTACCTATTCTTCTTTATTGTTCACCCTTGTTTATTGTTTACTGGTTTGCTTAAAAAGGACTATGTCACAATTCGTAGAATACTGAAGACTGTCAGTAGGGTGGTGAATGGTATCCCAGTGGACCACATAGTTAACGTTGTTGTCGATAGGCACTTGAATTCGTGCAATAAATTTGCTAGAGGCATTTTGTCTGACTTCGAGCATCCACTTTACCCTCAGCTTTCACCTTGCATCTCCTCAGGCAGAACAAGAAGTAACTTCAGAAAACTGTATGCTCTCACGTCTAAGTATAAGAAGTCTATGATACCATACTTGGCAAGTATTTTATGTGATGAAAATAGTGTCAGGCAAGAATTAACTAACCTTTTTTCATCTAGTAAACAAACAATTTCCTCCATCCATCCATGCTTATATACATTCAAGTTTTACTTTTATTATTTCTATTATATTTATGGTCCTGTTGCTTCTTTGTTTTACTTTCACAATTGCAAACACCAACTTATCTCTATGACTGCTGTAATCTTTGTTTTTACCCTCACCACATCATGTAAAGAGAACATCATATTCGATATTTTTAAACATGCTAGGATTTCTATACCACATTGACAATACTGTGTGACACAAGCCAACGGCAATTTTCACTTGTATTCTTATTATTATTACCCCAGCTGTTATCATTATTATTGCTATTTCCATTTTATATGCTGCATGTTTTTGACACTACCTCTATTGTAAATGTGGAAAATTTTCTGTGTGATTAATTTGATTTATAATTTGAGTAAATTAGATGCAATTTTGTGATTAATGCTGAAAATGCCATTCTGTATCGCAAGTACTGTTTTTGGAATAAAGTAAATCATTATCATTATTATTATTACATAATGGACACTGTCAACATTAGGTAATCAAATGAAAGAGAGAGTGAAAATTTGCAGTTACCAGGACAAGGAAAGCCTGATAACTGTTTCTTTCTGAACGCATAAATCGGGTTGATAATTTCGAACGATCTTGCAAAAGAGTTCAATTCTCCTCAGGTTTGTTGAAGCAATCTGTATGAAACGCCTGCAATTCTTTTTATGCGTTCAGAAAGAAACAGTTATCAGTCTTTCTTTGCTCTGGTAACTGCACATTTTCACCTCTCTTTCATCTGATTACGTAATGTCTAAAGTTTCATTTGTGTATTACCATTATTGTTCGGGACAAAGTGTTTATTATTATTATTATTAGCATTGTATGCATATATTGATGTGCTTTTGTTTAAAAACGAACTTTCTGCAAGTATTTTAAAATTGTTTGTGTAGATATACTAAATAATGACTGTGGCCTGTAAGCAACTGAGATGATGAGAAGGCAACGAAATGAACAATGATGGTAGAATTTTATTCTGCACCACACTGTTGTTCTTGCCTTATTCAAATTTATTAAAGGGGAAATAAATGTAAGGAAGTGTATTCTTTTACAAGTACAAACTGGTATGTAGTCAATCAGTACTAATCAGCTTTTTAAGCATACTATTAATTTTCTTTTACTTTCTGTTTTATGCTGAAAATTGATGAATGTATAATTCTTCAGTCTGTGGAAGAGTTTTTTGCTGAAAACAATTGTTGTCTTTTAATTATTTGTTACTTTTTTGATTACAGCTTGATTCCACACAGTAATTTTTGGTACAGGTATGGAATTTTCAGCATGTGATATCGGTAGGCCAAATTTTACAGGCCGACCATTGATATCAGTGTGCGTCAGCAGGGGATCGAACCCCGGACCATATGCATGGTCGACGAGTGTCCTAACCACTGTGCCACCTATTCTGAATAAAATATAGGAGTATTGAAATAACTGTAGACCTTAAAAGTTACTCCACCGAAATATATATATATATTCATTATTTTTTCTACATGACCGAATCTTTTTGGGTCGAAATTGGATTGGACTAACACCATGGTGTATATTGTTTTGTTAACAGACAACTCTAGTCTAACATGATGTGTATTTTTGTGTGTATGCATGTGTGTAAGTGTGTCTGTGTGTGCGTTGCGTGATTACTTTTGTACACACACATATGTACACAATATTCAGTGCATGCAAAATATCTTATGTGGCCACTATCAGACTGTGCACATGTAGTGTAGTAGTCATGCATATGTGCGTGTGTGCTTAGCTCACTCTAAGATATAGTTACACTTTCAATTGTGCATCAATGTGTACATGTCTACATCACATAATACTACAGTGAATATGATCGTGTAACAAGAAGCCGGCCGGCCAGCCGGCCGGTTGGTTACGTTTACCGGCTAAATGTGTGATCACAATAAATGTGACCCGTCTACCTTAGATGTATAATAATAATAATTATTATCACAGTCTGTAACAGAGATGAATTTCACATTGAATGACTGGTAATTGTTCTACACCAGTTCTACAGTTCAGAAGGTTACTTACTACTCATTCACTACACGAGATAAAGAACCAATTGGAAGTTAATTCATTTATTAGCTGCTTTTATTTATTTATTTAATTATTTATTTGATTAATTATTTAATTAATTAATTATTTACCATAAACGAACATGTTTTGTGACACAACCAGAAAGTAGAAAGATTATGATCAATTAGTCAGTTGTTCAATGTTCAATTATGACAGGGGATCATAATCCACTAACTGCGATACATCACTGTAATTTTAATGCTTTGTTTCAATGCTTTCATGTCTATGTTTCACAGAGAGAATTCAGCTTCAGCATCTGTTTTACATTTCGTGAATAGAAAAAAGAAATATAACACTGGTTCTATGCAGAGTATAATAATTCACGCATAAATACCTATCTAAAATAAACTAACGATAATAATTCTACTTCTAATGCCTACACTTAGTAAATTAGCCATTCTCAGTGTCTACACAGCGTCTACACGTCGTCTTGCAAACAATTTCCATCAATCAAGTAGACAACTCAGGTCATTAAAAGAATATTGTTTCCGTCAATTACCGAACAGAAAATATTTTTCACACTAAAACTCAGGAAATATTTTTTATTCACACACACACACAGATCAGTCCAAATATATAATCACTGCTGCTCAAAAGTATAAATTGAATAGCCTTCTTGAAGTATTTTAGTAAGTGATTACACACATATCAAAGATCCAATAAATTTATTTACACGTACACATAGATATATTGGAAGCGGACCTGGTATTATCTATCAGCTCAGCACAGTTTTCGTCATCATCTACGAATGTCTTGTACACATTCACAAAACTATGAAATGTTATTGTCACCCTTGTCGCCTTCATCAATAAATAGCAAAGTGTCGACATCAAGACAAAAAATAGTAACAATGACATATCCTTCATTCGAATGGTGGTGTATTCCAAGTTGTTTTCCTGTATCGCTGAAGTTCAATTATCTTCCTAGACAACTATTATTACTACTTTTCACTGTAACCTCATGTATATTGATCCCTTGTACTTGTCAGTTGCATCAAGTACATCAGTGTACAGAGTCAAAAAGCCTACAACTAGTGAACACCAGTGAACACTATTCAAACTTATCCTCGTATGTAACCAATGAGCGCTTTTGTGTGAGTAATGCAATTAAACCAGGGTATTCTACAATGGATAATGTTTCCGCTATTCATGCTTTGAAGGATATTCACCCTCAGATTCAAAGCATTCATAATGATCACATAGTGCATCGAAGTATGAGCAATCTCAGTCATCCGTGTTTTGCTGGTAAGTTCACTTACTCATTAAAAAAAAATTTCTTATCAATTATTTCTAAGTGGTTCATAGGACTTTAGGTTTCTAAAGTTTTGGTAGCCTAATGTAATTGCTACCCTCATCTCCGATCTCAGCTCTATTTTAAGCTTAGCGAACTAAGCGGTTCAGATGTTCAGCAGCATGAAATCGAACCTGGACCTCCAAAAGTCTACTTATTCAATTTTTCATTTCAGTTTAAGACTTTCTCGATGACAGAAAACAGACTGAAGTACTCAGCCTCCGTTGACATATCGGTTTTTTTGAGTAGGCTTCGGCGATGCCTGATTATTCAACTTGATGAAATATGATGGATAAGGATTAGCAATAGACTCCAGGATAGCATACTTCATCCTGTTTGAAACTCGTCAGCATTCCGCAGTGAGTGATAATATTCCCAGTGAGGCTGGAACCCAGTACCTATTGTTTCATATAGGAAACAAATGAGCATCCTGGATTCCACTGACTAGTTACCACTCGCCAAATAAAACTTACTCTATTTATGCTTCAGTAGCGATCTGGTTGTTAACTTACTATGCACAACTAGGCATCAAGATGTATTTAACAAAGTGACTACATTCCGGAGTTTATGAAGAACTTCCCCATGAAAACATTTAGACGTTAGTAAAAAAAACTAGCAGTTCAATTTCAAAACAATACCCAGTAATCAGTAGCCCGGTGAAAGAATTTAAATGTTTCGAATGAGGAACAGAGCTGGTGAACAGAGCCTGACAAGTCTGATAACTAAGTGAAAACTAACCCTGCTGACACTGACGACAGAATATTACTAAGGTAACCGAAAGATAACCTGCTTCTGATCGTCATAAAATAAAGCGACAGACAAAAATTACGGCTACTCGACTATTACTCACTTTCTGCCTAATTCCACTTTGTTTTTATATGGCATTTAGTGATGATTTAGCGGCATAAAATGCAAAAACATCTTCCATGAAATCAATAAATCTGTTTACTGAGAACTACCGGAAAAATTACCTAACATATTTACGTATTTGTCGGTTGTATCGATTTTCAAATATAAATTATCACAGCTCTTTCACTTTCAGCTAACTTGATTTGTGTGTGGTGCTAATTCGTGTTATGCCGTGAAAAAAAGTTGCTCTCATGTTTACATCATGGTTAAGTAAGATTAGATCCCGAGAGAATCAACTTACACTTTAATAAATACTCTAGGTTCACATCCATTTGTATACAATGGTCCTTTCGAGTAAACTCCCAATGGCTTGTAACCGCAGGGTCCTGGGTTTGAACAGCACTAGGTGCGTAGAGATGAAGAGCCCCAAACTAGGACGAAATAACTGTGGAGTGGTTCTCTAACTGATATCAATCTATGGGCAAAAAAATGATAAAAATCGAGACCCTAGAAACTAATTCTTGAATATATATATGTACATAGCCACATATGTGTACTTAAGTAATTCAGGTGAATGTAAACAGTCAATATAAACTTGATCGATATGATACCTTGTGTGAATATAAAAACTAGCTTACTTATTTGCTTTCCTTTTTTTATAGTTTTGCACATTTAGTATAGATTTTGTTACAGTTATACTGAAAATAATAATGTCGGATATTTATCTTTGAAAAGGTAATATATCTATATATCTATCTAAGTCACAAAAGGGTACAAGCTGACAGTCATGCACCCAATCACTTATATAATCGGTACACAGGTAAATGGACAAACTCATATGCTGTATACAGATAAATGCATGGCGCTACGACTTCAACTCTCCGTGTACACACTAATAAATAAATCAAAAAGTCGAATAGATGTGTGCTATGTGAAACACTAAAAGGACGCATACATGTAAATATATACACATATATAGTAGTGTGTTGAAGAAATAAGCCAAAAACACGATTCATTTGACTAGTCTTCTTTTTGCTTAAGATATATATATACTTGTTAAAAGCGCACTTGAAGGTATTAGTCAGCAAATAAAGTCGTGTGGAAACAAGTATTACATCATAGCTAATTGTTCTCTTTGAATTGTAATAGTTTTCGGGATAATTTCCAATAATTCAAATTCAAAATCTATTCTAACCGGAATTGTAACCCTGAAGGTCGTGGGTTCGAACCCTGTCAGTGAGTCAGTGAGTGAGTACTGCCAATGATTCCCAAACTAGGCTGATGAAATAGCTCTTCAGTTCTCCCTGTATCTGGTTTTCAATGGTTCTCTAACTGATATTAATCCATAGTTAAACTTGTAAAACAAAAACAAAGTCTAATTCTTACAAAGCAATTTTTGAAAAATATCCGAATAGTACTGAATATGGAAGTGTGACAGACTTTCTTTTGTGAGTCCATATTAGTTTGTTTACTAGATGTATCACACAGTGAAGAAACAGTATTACTATTTACTGGATGACGTTTCGAACAAAATTTGTTGTTCATAACCACATCAATTATAATCACACGACTTAAAAACTTGAGTTTTATAGTTTTCTTTGTCCTCTCCTATTTGTCGTCGTAGGGATAATTGAATTTTACAGATATCTGGTTGGATAGGTGTTGAATAATTCCGATTACATGTATTTGCAGTTGATTCGATAAACAAAGCTTCCATTGTAATCAGTCTGTCCCTCCATCGTGTGAAATAAGATTTTAAAACTGTCATTTCATCCCAGCATCCCATTGTATGGTTGTAAGTAATTGCATGTAGTGAGTGGTACAGCTGAACTATTCTCTAGATTTCTTATCTCATTCGGGTCAACCAGACTAGATTTTGCTAGGTTTTTATGTTCGGCTAGTCTGACTGACTGCCCCTGTTCTACTAGTGTGACCTATGTATTTGACCTCACTGACAACCATTCTAGTAGGGTAATATGTAAACTAAGCTGTTTTGTTTTAAAGGCTCCATAGGATTGATCCTTTAACCGACAAAGCTTGTTTCTAATTGAGTTTGTGGGTGGTTGGAATGCCAGCTGCTTTTATTCCTGCCTGCCTGGTTAAGAATTCTTTGTAAGGTGGTTTCCGGTGTTCCTTCCTTGTATGGAATTACTACTGACGATTTAGACTCCTTATTGATGGTGCTGTCCGGCGCATATTTTCATGTCAAATATGCAAAGTCGTGTGATTACAGTTGATATGATTACGAACAATAAATTCTGTTCGAAACGTCATCCAGTAAGTAATACTGTTTTCACACTCTGTGATCCATCTAATAAACAAACTAATATGGAAATACTTACTACCACAGTGCCCAAGTTTTACACATATATTAATATTTATTTTGTGAAGTATGAAATACAATTTTAATGTTATTTTGTAATGAATTTCAAAAATGTGAAAATAAACATACATGCAATCAAACCTCAGTTGTTTAAAGTCTGTTGGGGCAGACAGATAAGAAAATTTACTGATTTTGTTTAGTTTCGAGGACTGCCATCTTGCATTCAGTGAGTCTAGTATATCCACAGCAGTTGAATTGTTACAGACACATTTAATGTTATGGAGTGATACCTTTAGAAGCAGGATTTTATTCACCGAATTCAACAATTTTGAGGTGTTCCCCCTAAGACAACACAAAGAAAATCGCCCAACCGTATATAAAGGATATCTCAGAAATCACTGCAATACTCTTTAAACTTTCAGGAATCGATGTCTTACACAAACAAACAAAATCACTTCACTTAGCTGGCTGTATGTCAGCCAGAAGACTCAACAGCGAAAGAAGATAAAACCAGCATCATCTACAAAATAAGTTGTAACAAATGCGAAAAACACTACATTGGCCACAGTGGACGTCCCCTTCGTCTTCGTATCCACGAACATAAGCTAGCCATCAAAAGACATGATATCCGCTCCCTCATATCAATACATACAGACGACCACGGACATCAAATCGACCGGGATAACCGGCGTTGAAATATTAGAAAACAAGAATGCTAGAGAATTTTCTGAAGCCTGATATTCTAGTGAATCGTCAATCACTAGACACACTGACATAGACAAAATTTATCAACCGATAAGAAAAAAACCTTGCACACAAAGGGTCAAAGTTCAAGTCAAGCAAACAATCAGTACGAATACAAGTAACCTAGAAGGTGTGAAAACACAAAAAACAACCAATCACATCCAAGATCACCGGGAGAGACTCGTGGAGAAATCTAAAAGCCCATATCAACAGATTGAAGTTTGCACTGAAAATGTTGATTTGCAGGACGGGGAATGAAAGCTTTGCAAATTACCTATCCAGCTGAGAGAACACAACCACACCGAAATTTGTGAAAGCATGACAACGTTTTGGTTTTCATGCAATAATTCTCAAGCATTATTTACTTATAAATTAAGACCATAATACTGCTTGATTGGACTTCAAAGCAGTGCTTTCTTCTCAGCAACAAAGATCTGTTATTTTAAGCACCCCATATGCTAATTCGTAAATCAATGTATTCACTGACTAGATTTAAGCGGCACTTCCTTCACTAAACGTTTTCACAATGATGAAATTAACAACCAGAACATGAGTGTTAGTTGTTTATTGTAAAGACTACTTATCTACTTACTCAACGATAGAGAATTAATTTGATAAACGCGAAAGTCACCAGTGAAAAACTCAAGAGAGATCTGAAACTAGACTGATTTAGTAAACGTAGCTATTAGCCAGGTAAACTGAAACTTTTAAGGCACTTTGCTGAAATTCTCTAAAGGTTTCCTGATTTCATTCCAAGTAAACTCAACGATACTTACCTCAGACTTAGATTAGGATTTGGAAACCCCTCATACCTACTAAACAGGGTATTTTGAGAAGCAATTGATAGTGTTCTCTGAGCTCCTTGGTTTAATTGCAGAGCTTTCATCGTCTTTCTGGACGACATCTTCAGCGCAGTATTTAGGATAAAGTGAAATGATTTAAATTTCTTCATGAGTCTCCCGGTAACCATCTTTAGATATTTATTGACCGTTTTCTATTGATTGGGATTTTAAACCTCTGATCACCTGATTTACTTCT